TACTAAATACTGGAGTGCTCAATAATAAACTGTTAAAACCAGCAAAACCAGCTCTGTTAAACATATACATCCTTTCTCCAACTTCAGTATCTCTGACAAGCTAAACAGATAATTAACTTTGTATTAGCAATGAAGCTTTGTTAAATGTGCAGGACAACCAAAGGTAGACAAGCATCCCCCTTAGATCTTGGATTGACTTCCCTTCATTCTGCAGCCTGCACAGAGCCAGTATTTCAATTACTAGGGCCAGTGTTCAAAAAGAAAAACAAAACACACAACAAAAACCCCACAACAAAATGCCAGCACACACAACACCTCCCATCCCTCAGAAATGCTGTCTGCATGTTCATGCAGCTTAATACTCTTAGGCAAATTTTGCTGGCCACTGCTTATGTCAAGCTTGCCAGCAAGGCTGCTATTAAAAGTCAGAAAGCAACAGGAATATTTCTCTGTGCAGATTTGTATTCTCCACACCCCAAGAGTGGCAGTAGGATGATTCTTACAGTTCGAGAACAATTTAATCAATGTAGGAGTTTGTATAAGCAGCATGTTATTTAAATGCATTATAATGCTGGGAGTGTTTTATGGTTCAATTATGACTAAATGGATCAATTTGCTTTAAACACAGAACTGCACCACTGGACATTAATAACACTAAGTAGTGGGAAGCTGCTGCAAAGAGCTATTGCTGTCCATGGAGAAAACCAGAGGCAAAATAAGAACTTTTGGCCAGTATCTTTGACGCACACATGATGTAAATCCTGACAAGACGTGGAGTTATTCTCCACGGTAGCTGCATGAGTAATTTGGATAACGGGCCACTGCACTTTTCTGGACAACTAATGATATTATCATCTATGGCTACCTCAGCTATACACCAGTAATACTTTAGTCAATTATAATATTAATGCAGTCACATAATCCTTCTGCCACCCATTCTCATTCTGCTGCTCACACTGCAGGTTTTACAGTCATGGCTTTATGTGAAAAATCTCAGGTTAATTCATGGGGAAAAAAACGTTTCCTGAGTCTTGGCAGAAACATTTCTCTGGCTTAGGTTTAAGTGTCACCCACTGGATGTCTCACACAGCCACCAAGATGACAAGCTTACTCTGAATCATTTGTCAAATAGGAAATTGCCAAGCTTGCATCTTACCTCATTTAATTTGCTAATGAAGCCCAATTCCCCCTCAAAAGGGGAAATACATTTTTTAAATGACACAACCATGCTTCTCAGTGTGGGCATGGTAAAAGCACAACAAAACCCTAGCCACCTCAAACTGTGTAAGAATGAAGCCTGGATTTTTTTTTTTTTTTTTTTTTATTTTGAACATTTACAAACTCTAAAGACTCTAAAGAATTTTTTCCAGCACATTACATTATCAAGGTAGAACCAACAGTGTTATTAAAGCTTCTGGGCTACCTCTGCAGCAGACACTGAACTGATTGTGTGCCACATGAACAAAAACCCCACACCACAATCCTTCCCCTGTCTCCAGATTCCTCATTCATCTCAACCCGAGCACCAGACAGCCCAACTCACAGTACTGCTGGCAGTTCTGCATTCTCCAATATAATTCACCAGTTATTTCATGCTTAAACAAGCAAGATGTACTTTAACAGAGAAAATATGGCAGACTATAGTACTAGACAAACTAGATCCAATTTCACTTGGATCTGATTGTATTGCAGTGTTCAAAGAAGTCAACATTATTACAAAATTATGTTCCACTCTTTAAATCAGAGACAAATTCATGCCAAGATTCCACTATCTAAACAAGTACAGCAAGTATAGCAGAAAAAGGAAGAGTAAAAGCATAAAGAGTAAAAAATGCTTCATTGTTTACTAGCACTATATAGTCTCTCATAGAAAAATTTAAAAAGGACATTTCCAGACATATTAACAGCTCAAAAGTTATTCCAGCTCTCAAGCACAATGGAAATGTCAGTTATTACAAATCATTGCTCCTCTATAGTTCTCCAGCTACATTTAAAGTTTTCCTGGAATAGTTTAACTGCAATCCATAAGAAATCTTTCAGCAATCGATTTAGAAGTAAAATGTGTGCAGCACAATTTAGTATCTGCAGTCTCAGGCAATCACTTGAGTGCTTTCAGAATGTGTAACAGAATGGCACAGTGACATTTTTAATGATGCCTGACTATTTATATTGAGTGCCCAGAATAAAGCCAAGCAAATGAAAAAATTTAAGCAAACACAATTACAGCTCAATTGACTGCAAAACAAAACTTCCCCTACAATGTAAAATACTGGAATTTAAGATTCCTCTGAGCTAAGAAGTCACAAACTGATTTATGCAAGAATCAAGTCTACTGAAAGTTGTTTGCACTTTCAAGGCTATTGGAAGTTGTTTGTTAGAGATTTCTAAGACAATCCTATGTATAAAATTCATGAAATACAACATTTTACACACTTTTTACATTAAAAAGAAATACAACCAAACAAAATACTAGTTAAGACACAGATTTATTTTTTTTAATTAGAAAGAAGGGCTGGAACACAACTTCAGAAACCTGCAGTTAACAAGCCCAGGACACCTAGGGAAGCTATAATGACATGTAAAAAAACAAACCAGAAGGTTTTTATTGACTTAAAAATAGATTCTATTGTGAGTCATAAGACAAACTGCCAAAAAGAAATATAGGCAACTTTAAAAATATGATTCAATGAAGCTCCTTAAAACTCAGTAGCTCTCAAACAGCATTATTATATTTATATGTAAGATTACAAAAAAGCACTTTCTCCAGAGGATTCTGCAGCAGGCTGATGAGCTTTAGGGCTAAATGCATTTAACTGAATGTTATAAATATGTAAATGGCAAGCTGAGAAATTGAGCTGCAGGGAATTCTCACAAAGGGCAAGCTGCTCAGAGACCCTGCCTTGCATCCCCAAAACATACTGAGAACTGCCCCGTGCAGCAGCCAGCATTTCAGAGTTACACCACCAAAGGAGGAGAAAAGGGTGTTAAGATGAAGTTATCATTTTCGTTAACATCAGATTTGCTGGAATGAAGCTACAAGCAGGCAAAATGCAGAATAACCTGCAGCAGAGTAGGCTCACTGGGCATCCCTGTGTGAACCATGGGCATGGACGTGGTCCCTGTGCCAGCCACCACCTCCAGAGCTGCTGCAGCACCTCTGCCACACACCTGCTCTGAACACCTTGCAAGCAGCAGCAGAGCAGCAGGGAGTTTATAAGGAGTCTAAGAAGGGTTTAAAATAAAAACTCCCCTTTCCAGTCACGGAGATCTGGAGGTGACAGAGCTTGTCGTGGAGCTCCCTCTTGAGGGTAGAGGCTGCCCTGTGGTAAAGGCATCGCTGCATCCTCCTAACTCACTCTGCTCAAAACCTGAGCATGTCCTTGCTCAAGAGATGCTATCAAAGGCATCTCCTCGAGCCTCTGAACACCACACACAGCTCTAGGTGCTTTTGAGTTACAAGCACTGCAGCATTAAAAAGATATCGAGAAGAAAAGCACGTGTCAAACACCGAAGATAAAACTCTAGAGGTGCTTTACTTAGTGCTGGCAGTGCAGGAGCACCAGACAGCAAAACCTCTGATACTGTGAGCCATGAAATGGAACAATACACACTGATGATGAGAAACTATCAGCAGCTTCATCAGGTTTATTTAGTACTGTTGAAATGTCCCTTTCTTTGGATGACGTTTTTGCTGCTCTAAGCCTCCATCCATCTCCTTGCTAGACCAACCTTGTTCCACCACACCACTGTCTTTGCTGCCCCAAGCTGTTACATGGACTGACACCTCTGGGTTTTAATGTGCTCAATCATGTTTATGAAAATTTGGAAAAATCTTTAAAGGGATTGTGCTGAACTCTCCCTCTCAAACCCAACATCGTTTCACGAGCTTCAAAGGGCCCTGACAGGGAAGAAGGTTCCACCACAGAAATTCCTGAGGAAAGGATTTTTCCAAACTCCTGTGAAGAACAGCTAAAGGCTCAATATCAGATGGCCAAGGAAGGCTTTGGAAGCGTTGCCAGAGCCAAAAGAACAAGCCTTGCATGTGATGATCATACTTGAGTACTGCTAAGCCCTCAGTCAGCACTTTCTCCAGTCCTTGAGCAAACAAACATCCAGGCTGGCCAGTTGAGTCATCCCTGACTACCTCTGCCTCAGGACTGGGACGTTAACAAACCAGTGGGAATGGATTTCTATGAAGAATCTGTAATTCAGAAAAAGATTCCTTTTCTTGTAGTCATACTTTTCTGGGAAGGCTCTCCCCCTGCCACTTCTTTAATCAAAGAAATATTTTCAACCCTTTTCCAGCTCAAGCTGTGAGGTCTTCCACAGACTATAAGTCACAAAATTTTAAATCTTCTATCTCTGACAAGGCTTGTGGCTTTAGTAAGCTCTCCTGTTTTAGGGCAGCATGGATTTCAACTCAAGTGTCTGAAACAGCAACACAGCCCCCTGGGCTGTCCCCAGTGACTGCAGGAACACTAAAGCAGCACACCACTCCAGAGAGATGCCAACCCCTCCCACTGTGTGTCCTGCTGTGATGAAGCCTGCAATCTATTTCTCATTCCATAAATCTGTCTCTTCATTGAATGCATCACTCCTAAAACAGACTTACTGCTTTCAGAGGCCAGGTTACAGCCAGATCATCTAAAGCAACACACATTTTGTGATTAACCTCTTTTTAGAGTCCCCCTGTACATTCTGTGAAAAATACAAAACCAGCAAAATAGAACTGACAAAAAAACCCCCAAATTACTAGCTAGAATCAGATCTTATTTGATTAACACAAAAGCTTGTGGAAATTGTGCACTTCAGCATACAAAGCATGGCTTGAAACTTGGACCTAGGAAGGTTTCTCAGCGGGCACTGACCTACGTGTTTTGGCTTCCCTACAACCAAAAGGCACAATAATCAACCAAAAATATCAAAGCAGGTTGGGAATACAAATGATAGCCCACATGAAGCTTTAAGTAATATTCTTGAAATCAGAGAAGTTTCCTTACTTTTCATGGTGCCCTCCTCCTCTTCCTCCTCGGTGTTGATGACCATTGTGCCCAGCTGGGACTCCAGGGTGCCATCGTGTTCTATCATGGTGTTGGCTCCATCACTCATGGTGTTCACTGCTCTGATTGTGCCAGTTTCATCTCCACTCGCCCTCACCATGGTACCCGAATCCGTCTCATCCTCCTCCTGTTCAAACATGGCACAAACAGAGATTTTACTGATGCTGGTGAAGTGCCCTGAAGAATGTTTGTATTTAAGGACACTGCCAAGTCACAGTAATTCAGAGGTTTTTACAGACACACAGAAGCAATGTTTGGTTTATGCACTTTGTTCTCTCTCTGTCATCTCCAAACAGGCAATGAAAACTAATGAATACTTTTATGCCAGCGTGATAAGTAAGAGAACTGATAAATAATCAGCAGAAACTTCTCAGGGCAAACTGTATCTCATGTCTGAGCTGGTGAAGTGTCTGTAAGAGTGGATCAGAACACTCAATTAGTCATCACTGTTTCTATTCATGCAGGCAATTCTGAGAGCTGACCCTAACCCACTGTCTCCAGTGGCACAACTCAGTGAGGAGTCACCAGGTTACTTGGCAGCACCAGGTCTAAGTCTAGAGAGTATGTGGCACATGGAAAGAACAGACCCTCATCCTGTTTTTTTTTCCTATTTCTAACATTTGGGTAGTTTTACTCATTATAAACTTCAGGAGCAATGAAAAAAATTACTACATTTACAAATCTTTAAAAAGGATTCAAACAAATTATCAGTTTGGTAACATTTTTAAATTAAAATTATTTTTTATCTTTCCATTTGCTTAAAGGGACTATAACAAAAGTTGGAATTATTGCTCCCAAGGCTTAGGAGATTGATTCTGTAGGAAAACACAATCTCTTCAAAGCAATTCTGGCAAAACAACTTTCTGGCAGAGTTATGTTAGCCAAAGGTGGCAGTTTCACCAGGTGGTGTGTGCTTCACTAAATGTGTATTTTGACTATGACTTCATTAAGAACTGGGTCAAGATTTCCACAATCCATTTGGTTTCTTCAAAATGTGGACCAGCTACCCAATTGCATGAACAGAATTCCCTTTCCAGCCTTACAGTAGAGTTTCTGGGCATCTCACCTTAGATGAGATGCTCAAGTTTTGTTCTCAGTATGAAGTTCACATTCTCTATGTGACCATGGCCTTACTGATCTGTGTTAGTGTTAGAAGGAAAACACACAGGTGTTGCACATCAAGCTGTAATACCCCAGCTCAATGTCATGGAAAGAGAGAAGTCACCTCTCCACGTTCTGGTGTTCCCAGCATTTTACCTGCTGTGTCAAGAGTGTCTGTGAAATTTACTTTCCAACCTCAAAACCAATAGCAAGAGAGCAGAAAACTACACAAGATGTTAATAGAGGAGAATTAATTTTGTGTGGTGTTGAGTGGGTGAGAGTAAGTAATAAATTTGTTAGCTACACATCATTTAACAAAGGACTACATCAGAAGTTTTCACATCACTTGGGAAGTGTTTGGGAAGCTTTTCTGCTAGCAAACATGGAGTAGAGAAGCTTCAGGAAAACACACACACCAACAGAGAGGACTCAACTCCACCACACTGACATCACCTCTCAGCACTGTGACCCCAGATCAGTCAGAAATGAAGAAAGGACAGCAAAGACAAAACTCAGGGTAGGGACAGTACTGGTAGAATTGACATCATGGCAACATGACCAATAAAGTAACTTCCACACTGAAGAAATATCCAGTCCTAGACTGCAAAACCAGATGCACGATGTGTTCAGCACAGATACCGTGGACCATGCTGCTCAAGTGTCACCCCTGAGCAGGGCTGGCATACAATGCCTTGTGTTGCCCATTTCATTTACTCAGGCTGAAGCAGGCAGAGGCTCAAAAACCAGCTTTCAACATGCTTCCCAAACTGACATGCTGTAACCACTGAAACACAGAGCCAAACTGAAATTCACAGCAAGCCCTGAGCACTTCCCATGCCCTCACCTCAGGCTTCTGTCGGTTGCTCTTGTGTAGAAGAAAGTTTCTATAAGGGATGTTCTAAAGCACAATAGTAAAACAACACAACAGACTTATATCACAGTGCATCAGAGATGATATTATTATTCTATACGAGGAGAGCAGTCTAAGACCTGAATCTACAAAGAAAACATTCTCACTACTGCATAAATGATATAATCCAAGTGGGAAAATGAATCAAGTCTTCTGCATACAGCACTTTGTAGCCCAGCCTTAAGCTACACTATAAGGTGAACAGTACCCCACACATGCTGCCTGTCCCACTCAAATACAGCTTGAGCAGGGACCAAGCATCAGGAAGACAGTCATAAAAAACTCCAGCACTAAGTCAAATCCTCTGGTAATTGGACAAAATATTGCAAAAAAAGAACCTGAAGCAGTTAAGCCTTATGACAGGAGCAAGAGTTTGGACTTTGCACACTGCTGCTATAAAATACTCACTGAATTTTCTTCATCCTCTTGATCAAGCTCACGCTGTTGTGCCTCTTGGCGTTTCAGCTTGATGTCCATTGCTTCATTAATCAGGTCCCGCAGGATTGATACTCCTTTGGCACTTTTAACAAATGGATGCTGAGAAATATTTTAAAAACAAATAAGCACTGCATCCAAAGCAGGACAGAACAGTAAAACACTTTTACTATGGCCCACCTCAAATCAAATTAAGGTTTAACTCAAAACATTACTAAAATAAAGATCCAGTTCTTCTGTTTGGCACAGGAAGGAAAACTTCCACCCTTCAAACAAGAACAAGCTCCAAGGGCTCAACTGATGTGAGACCTTGGGCTCATTCACCACCCACAGCTCTACTTACTTCTTTCTTTAGCTTAGCTGTCAAGAACCAATTACACAGACCATTACCATGCCTGGAACATCCTGAGCAACCACTTACAATTAGCCTGCCCTGTTTTGTGTTTTAAGAGACAGTTTCTTGGCAGTGTTGGTGGGAATTTGAAAGTAAAACAACAAATCCAAATCAAGCAAAACCAGCAAACCAACAACAAACTCTGAAAGCCAAAACAACAAAAATAACCCAGAGAAGACAAAGGAAGTTGAAGTCAGACTGGTTCTTAGAGAAGAACTGAGAAGTTGAAGCTGTGTGAAATTTTTAAAATGAGTTACTAAAAAGTAAAAATCTGTAGTGAGCAAGAGCAGCAAGAAACTAAACCAACATTTCAAGAGCCACACAGCACAGGCTACCCTGGGCAAGCCTCCCCCAGAGCTCATGCTCTCCTAAGAAAAGGCAGACCTGCAGCAGCTGTGTTGCAGTGGCTCTCTGCTCCGGGCTCTTCACGAGACACTGCTTCACAAAGTCTGTAAAATTGTCCGACCACAGCTCCGGTTTCCGGAATGTTGGAGGTGGATTGGTAGGAATCATGAAAATTGCCTGAAAGCAGGAAGAATATTTCAGATTTCCACAACAAAGCAAAAAACCAACAATTCAACATAAATACACCCAAACACATGCTGGTACGAAAGAACAGTGGACTTGTCAAGGTGCTGCCTCTGAGGAGTTTGTGCCAACATTACACACAAATCTGCTTACAAGGATCAAGTAGCAGGAAAACAGACTTTTTTCACAAAGTGCTCACACTTGGCTGTGCCATTATGTGCCCCAAAATTGTGACTCTGACATTTTTCAGTCTTTAAAATTTGTGCTTGCATTAAAAAAAAAAATCCAAACAATTATTTGTATAATCCAGCTGAAAATATCCTTCACATCCAACACAGAGCATCAGCTATGTCTTAACAGAAGAGGATTGTGATTCTTTTTATTCCCATGCAGACTCTTCTTGACAAAGACCTATTTTTCCAAACAGCAATACATTTAAGGCCACAGTCCTTACCCTCATGGGATGAATATCTGCATATGGTGGCTTTCCTTCAGCCATTTCTATTGCAGTGATTCCCAGGGACCAGATGTCTGCCACACAATTATACCCAATTTCCTGAATCACTTCTGGAGCCATCCAAAATGGGGTCCCTATGACTGTGTTCCGCTTTGCCATGGTGTCCTGAGGAGAAAAGGATAAAGATCCAGACAATGGCAACTGTATTAGCCACAAACAGTCATTCATGATTAATCAGCATTAATTATCACCCTAATTATCTTGCATGCATGCAGATTACTAGACTCAGCAAGACTAGAATACAGAAGTCTGCAAAGATCAATTAAAACGTGCTCACAGAACTTAAAAGTATCCTAAAAAACCCAGCAAATGCTACTACAAACCATTAATTAGTTGTAACAGCTTCCACAGAGGAAGATCTGCTTCAATCTGCTGCTGGTTTAGCATCTCATGTTGATGCAAAGTGCTAAAAACCAGCTATGAGCAATTTGTCCAGCTCCACAATCCCATCAGACACATAGATATAGAAGATAAACTGAAATGTACACAGGCACCCTGGTTTTACTTACTGTAAGTTGTCCTGCCACTCCAAAATCAGCAAGCTTAGCATGTCCCTCTGTATTTAGCAATATATTTCCAGCTTTGATGTCCCTGTGTATTTTCCTCATAAAGTGCAGGTACTCCAGTCCTTTCAGAGTCGATTGCACTATTGTAGCAATTTCCTCCTCTGTGAGCTGAAGAAGGGAAGAGTGGAACATACCAGTGGCTGAGACACAGCACTATTGTGCTTTGGTCTGTATTTTACTGAGATTCACTAATTGCCACTTAATTGCCTTCACTAAAGGTTGCCATACCAGTGGGGAGTGAGTTAGTGACTTACAGCATTATGTAGCAGAATTAGATCACAACCAGAATAAATAAACACACAACCACATTTCATATGCCATAACCTTTTCTCAGCTAGTAATTCTTATCCTGAAATAAACAAAGTAATACAAAGTAGGGTCTTACTTGGAATCAATCTGGGTTTTTAGGAAAGCCAACGCACCAAAACCTGCTCCACCAATTAATTGTCCAGGAAACCAAAACTCAATCAGTTTTCTCGTTTTCAGAGTAACAAAGGACCTGCATCTCAAAGTATGGCCAATGGCTGTGGCAGGCACTGAACACTGAGAATTATGCCCTAACAACTCAGCTTCCTTGAGCTGCTGGACACCCATATTCCCACCCACGCACTCAAAGGAGAAAGGACCTACAGTTTTGTTTCGTAACCGAATAATGTCAGACACAGATCCAGCACCACAGTATTCCATGACTATCCACAGGTCTGTGTTCTTAAAATAGCTGCCGTAGTATTTCACCACATGAGGACTAGGAAAAAAGAAGGATAAAACAAAGGGTCAAACATCAGTAACCAGCATCACTGAATAAGCACAAGACACTGCAGAGACCCCAGATCAGAAGTATTCCAGAACACCCTGAATTCTGCACAGGGCTCCCCAGTCCTGCCAAGCCTGTTCCCACAGCAGGGCTCATATGACCTGCCAGTAAGTCACTCCAGGGAGCTAAACTGGCCAACAAATCCCACAGAAACAAGGAGCGATTAGCCCTTGGTCTGGGTCAGCTCCCTGAACCAGGTTACAGCAGGGTCAGTGCTGGGACAGGACGAGGAATGGGAAACAGGCCACAGCAGCCCCTGGTAAAGGTGCTACAGAACATTTGCAAACAAACAGAAACAATAAATAAACCCCACAATTTGCTGGAAAATAGCTACCATGCTTAGACAAACATTCCCCCACTACCACGTGAACCTACTTGTCTCTTTGATTTAGTTCAGTATATATTTTAAGATCTCAGCACAACCTAAGACCCTGCCTCAGTCAGCTATCTGCCTGCCCAAAAAGCAAACAACCTAGTAAAGTACACTCCTCAGAAAAACCATGTGTCCTCTGAAAAAGGTAAAGCAGAAACTAACAGAAAGACTGTCCCTGATTTGATTGGAATGGAGCTAAGGAACAAAAGTGTGTTTAATCTATTCTCTGCTGAACATCTTCTAATGAAAAAGCTTTAAAACTAGCAAGTCAGTCACACTGCACATTGTCCCTTAATGCTTGCACAGAAAATGTGATGCTCCAGTGATTCATCCCCTCTGCTGTTCACAACTCTGAGGTCTCACTTCAGGCCTTACAGTACTAATATTTAATTTAAGAGAAAGTAGTAATGCATTTCAAGTTATGCAGTAAGGTTTTTCAGGAACAATTTCTTTTCAAGGTACTCTCTGCTGCCTGCCCCTAAGTCATCTTCATTTAACTACAGTGAGAGTGGAAAGCAATAAAGTGACTGGGACCACATTTTTATACTGCTCATGTAATTTATTTTAAATGGCTTTCCACACAGGAAGTCCTTCAAAGTAGTGTTTCCTAAGGCCAGATTCATAACACCAGAAGAAATGAGTGTATTTTAAACCTTCAGCCTTGGACTTTGAGAGGGTCTTCCCTACCCACAAGTAGATAGGCTAAGTCACTGCAGCACGCCTTCCTATAAACACATGCACAAAGGGGAACAACAACCATCAGCCCACAGAGCTGCCAGCAGGTCGTTCTGGGGGTGCTCAGATCAGCAGAGAGCTTGTGCTGCAGCAGAGCCTGCAGAGGCAGGACAGGACCTTGTGCTGCAGCAGAGCCTGCAGAGGCAGGACAGGACCTTGTGCTGGAGCAGAGCCTGCAGAGGCAGAACAGGACCTTGTGCTGCAGCAGAGCCTGCAGAGGCAGAACAGGACCTTGTGCTGCAGCAGAGCCTGCAGAGGCAGAACAGGACCTTGTGCTGCAGCAGAACCTGCAGAGGCAGAACAGGACCTTGTGCTGCAGCAGAGCCTGCAGAGGCAGAACAGGACCGGGAAGGACAGAGGTCGTGCACATGCAAGAGCAGTCATGCATTAGCGGCTCTCATCCACGTGCCCTTTAAAAAAGAAACAAAAAACCTCCTCCTGACAGTTTTCTAGGCCTTGCTGGGAAGCCAGCACCCCTGTGCTGCACAAATCAAGTTCCCGCTGTCCAAGAAGTGACAGCGCCCAGGCAGGAGGCAGTGACTGCTCACAGGGCTGGCAGCAAGTGCAGGGTTACTCAGCTCTGTGCTCTCTCCTGCTGCAAGGCACACTTCTGCTGTTTTACCTCTGCACTACCCAAATGGTCAGCTGAGGTGACTCAGTGGATACGAGGTAACTTGACTGTACAAATCCAGCCTTTTAAAAAACACGTAAGGCAACGTCATGGCTCTTATTTGATTAAATGCCAGGTCATGGGTGATACTTTTCCTTGCATCCTAATAAAGGGTTTTGCAGCACACGCTTACCTATCGCATTGTTGCATTATGGATATTTCCTTGATAATTTCTTGCAGGTCAGATTCCACAGGAACTTGTTTAATTGCAACAACTTGACCCGTTTCTTTATGGATGGCTTTGAACACACTGCCATAAGAACTAGAAAACAAAACATTAAACAAATACTGAATATAGTAATATTTTAAAAATGCAAGTATTATGGTTTTGCTTTTTGTGAGTGTAATCATCAGGTAAAATATTAACTATCCTTTTATTAAAAATATTTTGTATTTTAATGTAAATAATCAGTCCACTAACTTCTAAACACTGTAATACAAATAAGTCAGCACACTGAGACTGTGAAGGAAGGGCACACCATCATTACCCTGACAATGGCTTTGGAATGGCCTTTCACACAAATTCAACAACTAACATTTCTTTTTTTCCAGCATGGAGTACAAGCTGAGCATCAGTAAGAACTACAACTCTGGTCAGAAAGGTTTGCATGTTCCTGTCAGATATTACCACTCTTATTTCCAGCTTCTTTACTTACAGCAGCCAGGCAGATTTACAACTCAGTCTTTTCAAACTGCTTAAGGCAGTGAACATATCACTGCAGGAGAGTTCCCATGCTGCTCTGCCTCACCAAAGGGCACAGTGTCACAAGTTCACTCCACCAGGCAGATCTCCCTCAAGAGGTACCAGGGATGAACCACAAAATCTCTTGAATTCCCAGGGAGCTCTGCCAACTCCCGGCTGGGATATTTCACAAACTTTTAAACTCCCTACTACTGACCCATAACCTGATATTTGGATTAAGCTATTGCATTCTTGGGAAACAAATTCTTTATTCTGTTATTAACCAAACAATGCCATTATGTCAATAACTACCTTTCAGAAACAGGACTATGACAAAAGTGAAACATCAGAGTCTGCTGAACACACCCCCATTACACAGATGTGTTTTCCTAGAAAAATGTACATTGAGCCCACTGGAACACAAGACATACCCTTCTCCAAGCTTCTCCAGGACATCAAATACTTCTTCAGGCTGTTTCGTTAAACTGTCTTCGTCTAACTTCTTCAGCTGCCTGTATGGGTAAAGAGAGAGAAATTATTACATTTAATTTTATGGCAGATTGGGCTCTGCTGAAACAGAAGAATAAATAGCACCACTTAAACATACAAAAGGTTTGGCATGAAGTAAATTGATTATGAAGTATTTCCCTGTATTTCACCTCATTTTCCCAGTATTTCACCTCATGAGGAGACTGGATATTATTAGCATCCAATAGCCAAAAAGGACTGGGAATTACAAAGCATAGAGTGTGAGCAGGCACACAAATCTACAGTTCCTCTTGGCAGAAATCAGTTTCAGGATCTATATGCTGGTGGTCACATCTCAGCATGGCACAGTCTTGAAGCCATTGAAATATCTGCTGAATATCAATACTGGAACGGAAGGATAGTTACCAAAAAAAAGGGAACATCATCTTCCTTGATGATCAGAGTATGTGTGGAATACATTTGCTGGGAGGCAGGAGGCAATACTACTCTCACCTGTACATTTTTATCATCAAAACTTCAGATCTTAACTTCATGGGCCTGGACACTTACTAGGAAGATTCTATCAGAAAAAAGCAAACTGTATATGACTCTCAGGATCTTAATGCCATCGTTCTTAAAGTATTGCTAATAAGAGTCAGCTAAAATAATTTCTAGGAATAAAAACCTGCCATGTGCTGTGATTCCTCACGTGGGCCCACTTCCCCTAGTACACCTTTTAGGGAGATCCCGTACACAAAGCAACAAGAAGCTCGATCGTATTTGTTTGAGTCTACACTGTAGAGCTGTTCATCAAACCTCCTGAAACAGCTAAGGACTACGTAACAAAAAGGTCTGAAAACAGTATTTTATTGTACGTGCTAAGAGTATCCAACAGCCCACAAACAAGTGCTCTTTCATCTTCACTCGAACTAAAAAAAATCTGAAACAACAATAAACAAAAACAAAAAATAGCCAACAAAACCCCCTCCAAACTCCCAAAACCATCTCATTCAAGTTTGTTAAACACAGAAGCTTAAAAGTCTCAGAGTTTTTAGCACTGACTGGTGTTTAAAGTAAAACACATGTGGTTGCCTGCAACTGCGAATTACTCCTGAAAGCTCTTAACAGCTGCTGCTAAAGATCAGGACTCCAGTTACAGGAATACTAATTTTTATACTAAATATATAACTTTTTTACCCAGTTTCTTTAGAAACAGAACAAAAAATCATTCACTGATCCCTGGCTATTATGTTTATGCACAAAAGCCACACGGGAGGAGCAGCTCACGCATGGAGCACATACAATGGCTTCCTGAAGCAGAGGAAACATTATATAGAAGCAGACTCAGGAAGTGGTGAAATACTGAAAGTAGCTGCTAGCTTCCCTGCTCAGATAAGCATTAAACAGAATTTACTTGTCCCTGTGAAAATGGAGAGGGAAGAAGGTGTGGGAAAAGAGGAAAAGCAAGTAACACATGCACCAGAAAACACATAAGCCACCATTTCCAAGGAGCCCAAAATGTGGTGATGCAAGCGGCAGACCCTTCTTGTTTAAGTTGAGGCCTAAATTCTACAAGCATAAAAGAAACAAAAAATACTTTTCATATACCAAACACAACAACCAGACAACTACAGTGCTTGGAGCAAACAGCCTAATTTCTACTGCAGACCAGGAGCCCAATTACTTTGCATTGTCCTGCTCCATCGAGTGCACTCGCTGCTGCCTGGCACACTCTGCCGTTCTCCTGGATGTTTTACAGGTGCAACAGCAACACAAACCCAATCTCACCACTGTTATTATTCAGATCTAATCTTAATCACCTGCCCTGTAAACACCGGCATAAGCAATTATAGAATGAAACGAAGCTTGTTTTGTTTTTTAACAGAACATACACCACTGTTTAAGCAAGGGGGCCAGTGCCACTGGGGACCAGCGCCAGCAGCTTCCTTTGTTCGCTGCCGAAGCGCTCCCGGGCCCCAGCTGCGAGCCGCTGATAGGATTCTGACACTGACACTTCATCCAAGCTGCCGCCGGTCCCCAGCTCTGCCCCGCGGCCCCGGCCCGGCCTGGCAGCCCGAGATAGGCGACTCACGGCTTCGTTTCGCCCCGAAACCCCGAGGGTGCGGGCTCGGTGTGCCCGGTGTGCCCGGTGTGCCCGGGCTGGGCACCGCGCCCGGACACGGCACCGGGGGCACAGACCCGCACAAAATTCAGCCAAGGAGAGACGCGAGGGGAGAAGTGACCGGGGCTTGGTCAGCGCGCTGGCACGGGCCAGCACAGCCCGTCCAGCCGGCGGGAGCTCCCGCAGCAGCGCGGGCAGCGCCTCCCCGCCAGGGCTCCCTCTGAGCCGCTTCCCGGCCCCGAGCGCGGCCCTGCCCAGCACGGACCTGCTGCCTCGGGCTGCTGCCCACGGCCCCGCGGCTCCGGGCAGCGCCCCGGAGAACCGAGGGGGCCGGAGCTCGGCGCGCCCGCAGCCCCGCTCCCGACCCCCGCGGGGGTGACCCGGGCCGGAGCATCCCCGGTCCCGGCAGGGACACACCCCGCGCTTACCGGCGCGGGTTCCGCAGCTGCACCGTCTCCATGGCGGTGTGTCGGTGAGCCGGCTCTGCCCCTCACTGCTCCATGGCACCGCTCCGCCGCTTCCGCCCGCCGCCGGATGCCAGCGGGGAGCGCCCGCCCCGGCTGCGGCGGGCGGGGCGCGGCTTCCCGGGCGCGGCGGCGGCGGCGGCGCGATGGCCGCGTCCCCCGGTGCGCTGCGCCGGGCCGGCAACGAGGAGTTCCGCCGCGGGCAGTACGGCCCGGCCGCCGAGCTCTACTCCCGGGCGCTGGCGCAGCTGGAAGCCGCAGGTAGGTCACGACCCGGGGCGGGCGGGCGGGGGCAGCCCTCTGAATCCCGCCTGAATGGCGTGTGCCCCGCGCAGGGGATGCCAGCGCCGAGGAGCGCAGCGTGCTGCTGGCCAACCGCGCCGCCTGCCACCTCAAGGACGGCGCCTGCAGCCTCTGCGTGGCCGACTGCAGCAGGTGAGCGGCGGCGGGGCCGGAGGGAGCGCTCGGCCGCTTCCCCCCTCGGCCGGGCGGGCGGAGGAGCGGCGGCAGCCCCGGGCGCGCCGGCTCACGGCGCCGCGGGCGCTCTGCCCTCACCGCAGCGCGCTCCAGCTCGTCCCGTTCGGCATCAAGCCCCTCCTGCGGCGGGCAGCGGCGTACGAGGCGATGGAGAGGTACTCGCTGGCCTATGTGGACTACAAGACGGCGCTGCAGGTGGACTGCTCCGTCCAGGCGGCGCACGATGGAGTCAACAGGTACGGAACGCTGCCCGGTGACCGAAGGAAACAGCCAAAGGCTCGGGAATACGGCAGCTGTGTGCTGCTGTTCCAACCGTGCTCATTCCTGCTGCCGAATCCCAGGCCTGGCTATGGTCCCTCTGCCTGCCGGTGCCTATAGCTCCTCTCAGGGCGCTGGTCGAGGTCTGGGAATGATTGCTGTGGGACTGTTTTTGCTTTGCTCAGTGCCTGGTTTAAAGGAAATAATGAACTGAAGTTCATTACCCTATCCTTTAAGCCTCTCTATGTTTACTGTGTTTACAGGCTTCTATAGTCCTGTTCTCTTTCTGGTGCTCTCTGCTTGCCAGACCAAGGAGTGAAATACATGTCTCTTGCTCACCTGAGCAGTCACAGCCCCAGCCCATGTCCTGTTGTATTTTTAACCCTGCTGGTGTGAAGATAATCTTTTTGCAAATGTCCTGTCTGTAGAATAAACCTAGCTGAGATGCATGTAGAGAAATCAGCAGACAGATGCTGTTCTTAAATACACAAGCCGGGTTAAAAGTGATGTGGCTGGCGACTGCATGGCCCAGCCAGCCAACAGCCAGGGTGACTGGCAGCTGTCTCTTCCAGGATGACTAAAGCCCTGCTGGAGAAGGATGGCATGAACTGGCGTCAGAAGCTCCCACCAATCCCCACAGTGCCTGTTTCTGCCCAGACGAGGTGGAGCATTCCTTCTGCCCAGGCCCCTGGGGCAGACACTCCTCCTGCAACTGCACCACAGGGAGAACGAGGTGGGAACGAGCCCTGGGGCTGGGCAGAGAGCCCTGTAGCTCCCAAGGGTGATGAACAAGACAGCTGCCACACCTGCTTGGTGTGTTTGCAGCCTGGGCTGAGACCTGGAGAAACCCAAGCCTGGTTCTGCCACAGCCTTTTCAGTTGATTCTGGTTTCTTTGATGTCTCTGTGTTTTGCCTCTGGTATGGGGATATTTGTTTTCTGTGATGTTGTGATATTCTTGTTGGTTTTATAGACTTCTGTATCCTTTCACACCATTTCCAGACATGACTGCTGCTGACATGGAGAGAGCTAGAATGCTTAAGGAAGAAGGAAATGAATTTGTAAAGAAAGGAAACCATAAAAAAGCAGTTGAGAAGTACAGTGAGAGTTTAAAGCTCAACAAGGAATGTGCAACTTACACCAACAGGTACTGTTCAGCTCTTAGCCCAACTATTTCTTGGCCCTATATAAAAGCCACCATGGTACTTCCTGGCAGAACTGTTTAATGTTTGCTCCCAAACTAATGAATAAAACTAAACTACCCCCTCAGGTTCATCCCAAGTGCAGCCTCATCTGTAGTATAACATTCTTTGATTAGGTAGTACAGAACCCCTTGGAGACAGTCCCCTGTGGGCTGCCAGGGGATTTCTCCCTTGACTGCTTTGTCTGACAGGACTCAGGTATGTTGAGTGGTCTCTGCTCTCTTACAAACCTCACACTGCAGACTGTTGTTCCTAAACACTCAAAGTACTTCTAAGGCAGCTGCAGCAAGCAGAGCAGGGGCTGCACTGGCAGAGGCAGGAACCTGCATCCTCAAAGTGCAAGTGCAGGTTCTTTGGCTAATTTAGGGCAGGTTGCTCTAAACATCTTCCTTTTTATTTCTTTGCAAAAACCATTTCCTTTTTTTCCTCCCTGTAAATGAAACAAACTTGAGCTCAAGATTAAGATGGCATAAGACACGAGGATGGTTTTGGAGCCCAGCTTTGTGCTGCACTGGCAGCTGCTCTGTGTGTTGTGGCAGTGGATGCTGCTTTCAGGCAAAGGTCTCTGAGCAGATGTGTGTGTTGCAGAGCTCTGTGCATGTGTTGCAGAGCTCTCTGTTTCCTGAGCCTGAAGCAATACAAGGAAGCAGCACAGGACTGCACTGAAGCTCTGAAGTTGGATCCTAAGAATGTCAAGGCACTCTACAGGCGTGCTCAAGCACTCAAAGAACTGAAGGTAAGTCAGGAGTTTCTGAAGGGCTATAGGCTAGGACTAGATGCTGTTGATGCATGATCAGAGCCAGAAATACCCTTAAGGGCTTGTTTCTGTGCTAGGCAACCTCTGCCATCAGACCTTTAAGGGCTGAGAGTCAGACTTTGCTGTTTGAATCTCATGAGTTTGTCAGCACTAGGTCCTGTTTCTAGAGATGCTGAAGACAACTGCTTTTCACAGAATCACAGACAACGCTGAGTTGGAAAGGGCCCACAGGGACTCTCGAGTCCAGCTCCTCACCCTGCACAGCACCAGCCCAGCAATGACACCCTGGGCCTGAGAGTGTTGTGCAAACACTTCTTGGGCTCTGTCAGGCTTGGTGCTGTGACATGGCCCTGGGGAGCCTGTTCCACTGCCCACCCATCCTCTGGGTGAAGAACCTTTTCCTAATACCCAAACCCCCGACACATCTTCAGGCCATGCCCACAGATCCTGTCCCTGTCACCACAGAGACCAGTGTTGTGTTGGGCTTTATCTCTTTGTCTCATGAGGAGTGCTGGAGTCAGTACTGGAGTAGCTATTGCATTGGTGTTGGACTCAGAAGGCACTTGAGTGATGAAATTATCTTCTCAGCCCTAGTTTGAACATGTTTTAGAACAGCTACACCAATGCCAGTGCTTGAGCAGTTACAGAGAGGGAGTCACAGGCTTAATTGTACTGTCTTTGCCTCTGTTGCTGGGTAGTAGTTCTGCCTCAGACTGCCTTTTTAATGCACTACCCCTTAAAAAATATTCTCTTTCTAGGATTATAAATCAAGTATTGCCGACATCAAGAGCTTGTTGAAAACTGAACCAAAGAACACAGCTGCACTGAGATTACTGCAAGAACTGAACAGAGCCTAGGGTAACCAAGCAACAAGGAAAGCTTTCTTTTCCACTGCAGAGAAAAGCTTTCTCCCTTCTGCTGTTGATACAGGGACCAGTCGATGCAGGATTGGTGTTGAAATCTCTCTTCCAGTGCTGCTGAGATCTAAGAGGTTCTGTACCAGCACAATGATTGTTAAGACATAATCTGTATCAAACTCTATTCAGCTGGCTCTATGATCATGCACAGTTTTAATGCCCCTCCCCAAGAGGCACTTAGGTTAATTTTCCTGGTTGAAGTCAACTTGCCTCTAACTATTGGCCTCAGGGACTCTTTACATGTTGGCTAAGATGCACAGAAGTGGCTGTTCCTGTCTGAAGAGCTACAGAGGGGTTTTAGTCCTTATTCAGGTGACAGTTTTGCTGCATTTGTGCTGCTATTACTGAAAGAAAGTCGCTGCAAGAGCTGCTGTAGTTGCCAGAGCTCCACATACCCTTCATGTGACAGGGGCTCAGTTACTTGCACAGGGCCAAGCTTGTTCCCTCTCCCCCTTCATGCCTGCTGGCCCTCAGCTGGGTTCTGCTGCTTAGTGTGGCTGGGCAGATGTTTACAGTAGCAGCTTTCTTTAATTATTCTGCACATTTAGGAAAACAGCAGCAAGTTAAGCCTGCCTTGTTACACTGTGCACTGTTCTTTCAGATTCTGGGTGCTTGGGAATTTTGCAATTGTTTTTTTTTTTGGTCTTGTTTTTTTTCTTTTTTTAAACCACTTTAGCTCTGTGCCTTTTGGAGCAGTTGCTGTGGGGTGTTACAGGGAGGAAAATATGCAGTAACACCCCAGCTGAGGTCTGGCTTACTACTTCAATGCATGTTTAAATTTCCCCTGGTCTGATATTGTTGGCACTGATTTTAAATAGTAGATAAAAAGATACTTGGAGTTACTTTGTGAACTGTTAAAACCTATTCTCATTAAAGCCATGTTTATTTTCACTCTAGGACTGTGTTTTTTGTGATGGATGGAACAGGGGAAGGGGAACACTTGATTAATCATTTCATACTGTCTCCTCTCTTTCTCAGAGGATTTCAGGCACTGTACAGGGGCCTTGCTCTTTCAGACAGTGACCTCAGCTCATAGTTGCCATTAAAATTAGAGTTCAGAGAACCAGAAAGCCTACAGCTCCAGGGACACTGGGGCTGGGAAAGGCATGCCAAGGAGAGCACAGCTCTGCATCATGGTTTCCAACCATTGCTCAGCCTTGCACTCTGCCTCAGCTAGTAAGATGCCGGACAATGCTGGACCTGATCCAACTCATAATACAGAATAATAAGAAAAAGCTAGCCCTTGTTCAGGGTTCAAAAATATTTGTTTCCCACCTTGCCTCTCCCAGCAGTGCTTCAAGGCAGGTACCCTGCTGAATTGAATTTTGAGAGCAATTGAATAAAGAGCAATCCCTCTAATACCATTGAAGACAAAGACCTCTTACCTTAGCCTGACATTAAACAGCTTTTTGTAGGTCCCAGGGTTGTACTCCATCAGGTGTAATGTGCCAGGGCTTGGAACAAGCCCTCCCTGGGGGGCACAAATTGCTCCATTCACTCCGTTCCTGCTTCTAAGCATGGCAGCTCCATTGATCCCCACAGCCAGCCCTTAGCTGCTGTGATGGATTTCAGGGTGGGGAAGCACACAATAGCACACAGAGAGGCAGAGAAGGACTGGGAGTAGGAGTCCAGAAGTAGGACTGGCTTCATTCCATGAAGAGCTATCCTTCTGGCAGCCCTGCTGTTACCTGAGTGACAGATACCTGCACTGTTCAACAGCAGCTCATCACAGCATCCCTACGTAGCAGCAGCCTTGTTTGTGCCTGACACCAAAGATTTCCCCAGCAACAGCCCCAGGTGGACAAAGGTCACACACAGCAGTAAGACATCACTGCAAGCTCAGGGTCATTTCTGCTCCTGTCTCCCCTTCTCCTCCTGCTGAGGTGCTGCTGTCTGTGCTGGACACTTCCCAGGTGGGCAAAGGTGGTGCTGGCCACAGGGCAACAGAGGGTTTATCACAGGGACATACCTTCAGATGCCCCATTCAGAAGCAGCAGCTGTTCCAGACCCATTTGCATTGCTGCCTCAACTCCCCAGAGCCTCAGACCTCACCAAGGACTGCAGCCAGGGAACTACTCTGAATAATTTCTAGTATCATCAGGGATCCAAGTGCCAGCTTCACCTCTTCTGATTATCATTTGAAAACCTCTTGTCCTTGTTCACATCCTTTAGAGGCTATTCTGATATCTCTGTGTTCCGGGGCCCCACTTGGCATTCCCTCTGGTTTTAAAGAGGGCTCACCCAGCACAGCCATCTGTGGTGTCACAGGCACACCTGAGCTGCCCTGTTACACCTGAAAAATGGCTGCAGCCAAGCTAAACAACAGCAGAATGAAGTTTACCTGTACAGCTCCATTCCAGCTCTCCTTATGTGTATTACACTCATGCAAATACATGTTTTTCCTCCAGACACCAAGCAGAAAAGCTTCCAGCCTGTGACACTCCGAGAGAAATAACAAATTAGGGTTCTGTATATTAAGTGAATTAAAGTCCTTTATAAGCATCTCACTGAGGAGCTGATACCTAAACAGTGAACAGTTCAGGCTGAGGGATCCCTAAGAGGAAAATAAATATTTAAGGAAGTCAGAGTAAGAACTGGTGAGAAAAAGGAATGATGAAAAGCCCCAGTGGAGCAGAGCAGACACCATGCAGGAGCAAATGTGTAAGTGGTTCTATTAAAATGCTGGAAGGAAAACAAGAGGTAGGAGGGGTGACTCAGCAGGGAGCTGAAGTGAGAGTATGATACAGCACAGAAGGAAGATTGAGACAGCAAAACCAGCACGAGCTGCACAGAAAGAAGGTGGGTGGTACTGGTGGAGGTGTGCTCCTGCCAGCTTGAGGAAGCAGTCAAGCGAGGTCAGTGCATCACCAGCCTCAAGCACTGAGGAGTCTCTGGGGATTGAAATTCCTTTCCTAACTAGGAAGAGCAGAGGATTAAGGTCAGGGTGATGACAGGAACACAGGGAGCACAACACAGCAGTAACAGGTCCCAGCTCCCCCTGCAAGCAGGAAGTGTCCTCGTAGGACACGATGCAGTCATGAAGGCTTGCAGGCTCCTCAAGGACTCCTGGGAACCTCTGGTCAGAGACACACATTGGAAACAGCTTTTTATTTACAGCTACTCCACAATACCTCAAAAAGCTGATCCTGTGCACCACAGACACATAGACAGACCCTGTGGTGAGTAGTAGGAGACACTTGAGGCCATTACTACAGGTCTACAAGGTTAATTACTGGGGGAGAACAGCAGCAATCCCTCCTGTTTTACTTAAATCCATCCTCCTAGGGAATCAGAAAGGATTAGAGGAGCCTGTTGGTTGGCAATTTGTTAATGTAGAGCTGTATGTCCCTTCTGTCAGCTTTCCAGGCTGACACCCCACCAGCATCACAAACTTCAATCACTAATTACTGCAGCCTGAGCTCATCCTTCCACCTGTGAGAAGCAAAGTATTGGCTGTCTTCCTGCCAAGGGAACTAACCCATTTGTGGGGGTGGAAGTATTAGTTCTTTATTAGTGTCAGCTACATGAACAAATAAAACTACAGAACCCAATAAATTCAGTGAAATGATGATTCACCAGCACTCATCATTTTCCAGGCAACTGAGCCAGGCTGGGTTCCACACTACATCTCACAAGGTGCTTTCAGTGGTGAGAAGAGATTTAATGTGAAGATTTTTACAGGTGCAGGAGGAAGCAATTCTACAGGGCTTACAATACACACAAATAATAGGATGGGGCATTTGAAGACAAGCCAGGGTCACTGTAAGGGCATGATTCCAACAGCACGGTGGGGTTCCTGCTCCTCTTCAACAGCAACATTCTCAGGGCTTGCCCTCAGTCCCGTAATCTGCAAGACACAGAGAACTCACATATGTAATTGTCAACTGCTAAAGGAAGAATTTCATCTAGAAAACATGAAATTCACCTGGACTTGGATTAACACAGTTACATTGATATAAGAAGTCAAGAAGACATCTGAAATATCTTAAAAGGGGTACATACAGTCTGAATTGCTTTGTTAGTGCATCTATCCCAGCCTCAGCAGCAGGGCCAGCTCCCTGATCAAGCACACAAAGGATATTTTATAGGGGTATATACTGTCAAGGTTCTGCAAAAAACCCACTGGGAATTCCCAGGAAAGATTGTGCTGGTCTCCAATAGAGCTACAGAAAAGCAAGGACCTTTCCTATAGTCCTTTATGGTAGCAGAGTCATTGCCCTCATCAACATAGAAAGAACCCCCATAGGTCTCTGTGGTACAACTAAGAATAGAGGATGCAATTCAAGAAATGGAATATTACAGTCAAAGACACTGATAGTGCTCATTAAACCTGGCTTGGCCTGGGTGAGAAACCCAACACCCAATTTCAGAGTAAGAAAGCAGAGACTCTGAGCACACCAGGGCTCCCAGCACTCACCTGGAGTCAGGGCAGGAACGCCCCAGCACTGCCCTTGTGGGGTGTCTCCGTGCTCTGGTGTGCCTGGAGAACAGTGACTGCTTCCTCGATCTGACAACAGAGAAGGGGGAGAAGTTGAGTTGCTCCAGTGTAAAACTGCACTGCACAGGAACTCAGTATTTGGATCCCAGTGTGGCCTCCACACAGACTCACTTTCAAGAGCTAAAGGACTTGATTACAAAATCCAAGCCTGCTGCTTCTGCAGGAGACTGATCAGCACAAAGACCTTTTCTGTCTCTTACCAAGGGAACTTCTGAGGAATCTCTCCTTTATTATCAAGTCAGAACTTGCTAGACACAAGTCAGATTTCACAGGTAAAGCTACCTGACACCACCCAGCAGAGCCCAGGCTCCTCAAAAAAACAGGAGTGTAAGAATGAAAGCAGCTCCTGTCTCCAAGGAACAGCAAAAAGATGCAGTCAATTCACTCCAACTACTTCAATGGGAACCAAAGCTAAATATTCACCAGAATTAAGAAGGAAACTGAAGAAATACTGTAGAGAGGCAGCAGTTTGTCTAGTTTCTATTCTGAGGAAAGAGCATCTTCATGGCTACTTCCATGCAGACATACCACCCTGCTTTTCCCCTCTCGCTTCCCAGCAACCTCCAAACCACCCTGAAGCTTGGCCTGTGCTTTCAGGGAGCTGCTTCCAGCTTCTCCTTTTGCTGAAGGCAGGCAGGCATTCAGGCACTGGGTGTGGTGACATCAACCTGGGGCTCCTTTTTCATGTGAAATAAAACCAGCAGCTACTTGCTCTTCCTACAGTGCTCAGTGTCCTGAGCTGTGTCACCTCTCCTTGCAGCAGAAGGTGAGCAGCCCTTTGGAAAGGGATTTGTTTGGGCACGGAGTCTGTCCTACCTTGGAGCGCAGGGAGTCTGGGGACTCCAGCAGCAGCAGCAGCTCGGAGTTGTCAATCTCCAGCAGCATCCCAGTGATCTTGCCGGCCAGCGAGGGATGCAGCACATGGATCAGAGGGTAGAGGCGTTCTCCTGCTCCAAACACCAGTGAAGACATGAGCACTCTGCAAGCCCCCCGGCATCTTCAAACCCACTGCAAGCCCCGCTGCCTGCTCAGCCAAAATGGGATACGAGGGTGGTGATGGTGGTGGAAAAACCACCGCTCACAAGCAAAGCTACTCCAGCATGTCTGAGCAGCAGGAAGCTGCTGGGTGAAGTCAGCAGCAGGCACCTACAGTGGGCACAGGGCAGTGGAGCTGTGCACATCTGCCCACCTGTGCACAGGTGAAAGTGCCAGTTTCTGCAGGAGCACTTTCCCCTTGGGAAGAAAGAGCTGGTCTGTGACCTGCTGTGCTTTGCCAGGCCAAGCAATGCTGTCCCACACCAGGGCATTGCCTGCTCCATCACGGAACACCTGAAACCCAAGGGCTGTGTGGCACAGCTGACCTTAACCCCTGTAGCCACCAAGCTGTTCATCAGTGCC